CCCAAATGTCAAGACCATCCGCTCAAGAGCACCCAACACCGCGAGCATCTCCCCCAGCATCCCTCCCGACACCTCGAGCATCACCCCAACATCCCAAACACCCCCTCAGCAGCACCCCAACACCGTGAGCATCACTCCAGCAGCACCCCAACGCCTTGAACATCCCCCCAACGTGGTGAGCACCCCCCGCACCCCAAAGCGTTGCCCCCCACCTCAATGGTGCGGTGCAGGGGGTCCACGATTTGCCAGATGATCAGCGTGACCACGTCCAGCCCCACAAGCAGCCCCACGGTGGCATACAGCTTCCACGGCTCCAGGGTCTGGGTGAGGGGACAACACGGTGTCACTGAGAACTTCCGCACCCTCCGGTCCCACCCCGTGCCCCACCAGGTCACCCCTCACCTTCCTCTTCTCCTTCTTCTCCTCCTTCTTCGTGAAGACGGTGTGGACCCACCAGATCTTGGTGAACATGCTGCCGTAGGCCAGGCTGAACCCCAACCCAAGGAGCCACAGCCGGGCCTGAGGAGGGTACGTGGGTTGGGAAGAGGCAGTTGTACCCTCCCCATCCAGCTGTACCCACCTCCGCTGCACCCCCACGGGGTGTACGCCCCCTCCCATGGACCTCCCTTGACCAACTCAACAGGAAGTCCCCAGCTCTGATCTCCAACTCTTCCTCCTCTGGTTGTCCCCATCCCCTGGCTGTATCTCCAACTGTTCCTCCTCTGGTTGTCCCCATCCCCTGGCTGTATCTCCAGCTGTTCCTCCTCTGGTTGTCCCCATCCCCTGGCTGTATCTCCAGCTGTTCCTCCTCCAACTGTCCCCATCCCCTGGCTGTACCTCTGCCTGTTCCTCCTCTGGTTGTCCCCATCCCCTGGCTGTATCTCCAGCTGTTCCTCCTCCAGCTGTCCCTCTCCAGCTGTTCCTCCTCCAACTGTCCCCATCCCCTGGCTGTACCTCTGCCTGTTCCTCCTCCGGCTGTCCCCATCCCCTGGCTGTATCTCCAACTGTTCCTCCTCCAACTCTCCCCACCCCCTGGTTGTCCCCTCTCCGCCTGTACCCCCCAACACCCCACCAGCCCCATACCTGACAGACGAACGGGAAAAGCCCCGGCCCGATGTGGTACCCGTCGAGTCCCAGGGGGAAGACGGCAGCGAGCGCCAGCGTGCAGCCCACAGCCGTCATGTTGTTCAGGTACGGCTGTGAGTTCTGGATGTACCTGGGTGGGGGAGAAGGTTGTTGAGGAGGTGGCACATCACCCGGCCACCGGGCTCAGCTATCGGTGGTGTGTGACGTTCAGCGGACCCAACGGGACGCGAGAAATGGGGACAAGAAGTGAGATAATGGGAAACCACGTGCTACAACCAACCGCTTGGTATCACCCAAAGCTCCTACGCAGCGAGAACGGGCAACTGGGATATCTACTAACAACAACATTTTGTCACTGTCATCTTCTGTAGGAGGACATGGGACCTTATAATCCCCCCCCCTTTTTTTTTTCCCCCTCTGGGTGTTGCTAAGCGCCTGCTGCTGCGGGGCTTTTTAGCAGCTATGGAAAAGGAAAAATGCGTTATTTCCCCAAAAACTGGGAAAACGGGGAGGAGTACTGACCGGACATGTCCATTGTAGATGTTGAAGGCCAAACAGATGATGGCCAGGAGGATGCCCAACGAGGCCAACACCGAGACGGAGATGAAGAGCTTCTGGGACAGGAATCGGAAGGTGGTGATGACCTTGGTGTAGTCGGCTGGAGGGGCACCTCCTGCAGAGCCCACGGCACAATTAGAGGGCATGGAGGAGGTGGGGAGGGGTCTTCTCAACCCTTCCCCATGGCAGTGACACCCCCCCGCCGGCTCACACCCCACGCGCGGCACTGCTCACCAATCCACTTGTCGTTGTTGTACCAGGACAGGTTGTCCTTGGTGCTGTCGTAGTAGCCGATCTTCTTGTAGACACCTCCTGCAAGGACAACAGAGATGGGTCGGGTGGGAGGTCAGGAGAAGTGACATCCCTCCGACGTTTGTGCACACCACCCCACACCTCCCCCAGGATCACCGGACTGGTTGGGGGTTGGAAGGGACCTCTGGGGGTCATCTGGTGCAACCCCCTGCTCAAGCAGGACCACCCAGAGCCCGTTGTCCATGACCATATCCATTGGGCCTTTGGATGTCTCCAAGGATGGAGGCTCCACCACCTCTCTGGGCACCTTCTGCCAGTGCTTGGTCACCTGCACCACAAAAAAGTGGTTCCTGATGTTGAACTGGAGTGTCCTGTACTCCAGTCCCTTCGTCCTCATCATGGTCCTTCACTGGATGTTCTCCAGTAGCTATCTTGTACTGGGAAGCCCAGTACCGGCCCCATCACGGCCGGGGTGGCCTCATCAATGCTGAGCAGAGGGGAAGGATCACCTCCTCGACCGACTCCAGCACTCCTCCTGATGCAGCCCAGGACACTGTTGGCCACCTTTGCCGCATCGCTGACTTAAGGTCAACTTGGTGTCCACCAGGACTTCGTGTGCCTTTTCTGCAAAGCTGGTTGATCCCCAACCTCTCCTGGTGCCTGGAGTTGGTCCTGGAGCACTTCTCCTTGTTGAACCTCCTGAGGTTCCTCTCAGCCAACTTCTTCAACCTCTCAAGGTCCTTCTGGACGGCAGCCTGAACCTCTGGCACCTCAGCTGCTCCTCCCACTTTGGTGTCATCAGCAAAGTGGCCGAGGGTACTCTCTGGCACATCACCCAGGTCATTGATGAAGATGTGGAAGAGAACTGGACCCAGTATTGACCCCTGAGGTGCACCGCTGGTGACTGGCCTCCAACTGGACCTTCTGCCACTGGTTCCCACCCTCTGGACCACCCCACTGTCTGCTCATCCAGCCCGGACTTCACCATCTTCGCTATGAGGATCTTCTGAGACACAGTGTTGAAAACCTTCCTGAAGCCAACGTAGACAATGTCCACTGCTCTCCCCTTGTCCACCAAGCCAGTAGAAGACAGTCAAGTTGGTCAAGCGTGTCTTCTCCTTGGTGAATCCATGCTGGACAACTCTCGATGACTTTCTTGTCCCAAGCTCCTTACTTGTTCCCCAAAGCTCCTCCACCTCTGGACCTTCCTCTGTCACACGCAGGAGCGGTTGTGTGTTGGTGAGGACGGCATGTCCTGTTGGACACGTGGCCAAAAGGATGCGGAGAAGGGGGTTGTCCCCTGTGTGTTGCCACCCCCTTGAGAAGCTGTGTGGTGGTGGGACTCGTTGCGGTGTGCGTCTTGGGGTGGTTTGTGTGCTGTTGTGAAGATGACACGGCCACAACACCGAGCTGTGGCTGTTGTGCATGAGAAGGGTGTTGCGGGATGCTCGGTGGTGGTCACCACGTGCAACACGGTGACAGTGTCACCCTGATATGGCTCCTACCTGTCCTCACTCACCTTGCAGCTGCTCAATGAGCGTCCAGGCCATGCGGGAGCCGCTGGCGTCGAAGACAACGTGTCCCTGTGGGGTGGGATGGAGATGGGTGTCAGGGACCTGTCAGGTGGTAGGACCATGTCCCTGGAGGGGTGTTGGGAGAAGGTTATTTCTGGGAGTTTTAGGGTAGCTCATGGGGGCACCCTTGAGAGATGCCTTCAAGGCACCTTCACCACGACCTTGAAGGTGGAGGAATTGAGGACATGGGAGACCGTTGTCGGGGAGAAGAGGACACGCAGGGGTTCAGGTATGGACAACTCACCGAGACACCCTCAAAGGCAGAGGAGTTGAGGGCCCGGTAGATCTCATCGGTGATGTTCTTATTGTTGTAGTTGAAGTCCTCCAGGCGCAATCCCTTCTTGACCAGCTCCGCTGAGGTCTTGTTGAGGGCCAAGGCCAGGGCCCAGATGGCATCGTAGGCCAGTGGAGCCTCCTGGAAGCCTCCTGTCTCCTCAGGGTTCTTGCCCAGCCGCTTCTGCAGCTTCTCGATGAACTCCTGGGACGTCTGGGACAGGGAACGAGATGGTGGCGAGGTGGTGGGTGGGATGGAGTCGAACCGCCTGGAGGTGCCACGCGTCCTCCCATCCTCCTCATACCATGTTGGAGATGCTGCGGGTGTTCTCAGGGTTGAGCATGACGATCTCGGTGGTGACGTGTCCTTCCACGGCCTCGGCCATCTCCGCCTCGGTGCAGTTGATGGCGGGATCCTTGATGCGGAACCAGTTGTCAGCGTACCAGCCAATGAGGAACCAGACGTACTTCTTGCCATACAGCTTCTCCTTGTAAACCTGTGTGGGCCAGGGGGCAGTGGCTTTACCCTTCACCCTGTCCTTCTGACCATCACTCTTCACCCCATCCCACCCAGTCACCCGTCGCTCATCTAGCAATCTTCTCCCCACCATGTCCATCCATCCAGACCTCTGTCCATCCGCTTTTCAGCCCATGCCTCTCCTCAACCTTCCCACCATCCCACCTGCCCATCCAGCTGGACCTCTGTCCATCCACTCGTCACCCTGGGCCTCCACTCAACCGTGTCCCTTCCCACCATCTCACCTGCCCATCATCTATCCATCCATCCATCCATCCATCCATCCATCCATCCATCCATCCATCCATCTATCCATCCATCCATCTGTCCATCCATCCATCTGTTCTACCACGCTCCCATCTACCCACACTTCCACCCTAACATCTTCCTGCCCACTCAACTGCACGTCCCACCACCCTTTGCTCCATCCCACCGTCCATCTCCCCACCCTCCCAACTGCCCCCCGTCCTCCCGTTCTTCTCTACCTCACGCCACCCAATGGTCCCATCCTCCCTGCACAGTGCCCCCCATGGTGCCCCCCCACACCACGTCCCCCCCTTGCCACCCCTCACCTCGCAGAAGACCTTACGCGCCTCCGTCTCGTAGAAGAGCCCCACGATGATACGGGCGTCCTGGCGCTGTAGGGAGACAAGTCACCCTGAGAAAGGACTTCTGCTGCCCTTCGCTCCTAGATAGTCAATTCCACCCATCCTCATTTGCATAACTTTGCATAGGGGTGGTGAGGAGGACCACAACCTTAGCATTGGCACAGCCAGCTCATGGACTTTGCTCCCCATCTCCCAGTTGGAGGAGATTCACCGTTGACCTTGGGGTGTCTCTGCTCCCTGTGGGGTGCAGGACGGGGCGCCGTCTTCACCCCGATGGTTGGGGGTGTGGCGGGGGGGGGGGGTGGGGGGGGCGAGGACCTGAGCACGGGCGAGGTGGACTCACCTTGAGGTTCCGCACGGGCGCGGCGGGGTCGGAGAAGAAGCTCTGGCGGAAGGTGATCTCCAAACCGGCTTCCTTCACCCGTTGGTCCAGGTCATCGAGGGTCTGGTGACGGGTGGGCAGGAGGGGTGGGGAGCAGGCGGCGGTGGGG